ATTAATTTGTAAGGTACGTTTGTGCAAGTTAAAGAGTAAACCAAGTTTTACGGACGTCAAAACAAAAGCTGAAACTGACGTTGAAGTTGTGGTTGACGATGAAGTTGCTATTGTCAGTGGGAAACACGAAAATTTATTAATTTGTAAGGTACGTTCTTGCAAAATACGAGCAAACCAAGTTTCACGGACGCCAAAACTGAAGTTGAAACTGAAATTGAAATTGAAATTGGCGCTGAAGTTGAAATTAATGCTGAAGTTGAAACTGAAGTTGAAGTTGTGGATGACGATGATGTTACCGTTGCCARTGGGAAACACGAAAATTTATTAACTTGTAAGGTACGTTCTTGCGTTCCGTGGCAAAAGCCACCCAGAACCTAATAAAATGTTACTTTCGTTACTTTCTCGCGGTCTCTCTCTTTCTCTTTTTTCTTTCCCTTTTTCGTTTGCTACGTTCAGTTCCTTCGTTCATTCGTTCGTTCGTTCGTTTGGTCGTTTGGTCGACCGGTCGTTTATTTTTTCGCCGCGCGATAAAACTTCTCGTCGCGTGTTTTTCTTCCCTCTACCTCTCTTTCGGATTCTCAAAGCCGATATACGCCAAGCACACAAGTGTGGAGGTGGAGAAGTATATAAGAGTAGTGTACCCTGTATACGACGACGATCTCCTCCTCGTGCCCAGCGGCTACTACGACGACGACGACGACGACGATGAGGAGGAGGAGGAGGAGGAGGAGGAGGAGGAGGAGGTAGAGTAGTACACCCATTGGAAAAAGTCGTAGCAGGTCTTCCTTTCGAATCGTTCGATTTTAACGACGCGCTTTTTCTTTACCCATACCAAATAACGGAGAGTCATCCTTAAAACTTTAACTAGTTTCGAATAACAGAGAAGACGCTTTTTTTAGATGTTCTTTTTTTTTTGCAACTTTGTAAAGAACCATTATATATATTGTATTCGTATATAAAACATACGGCCGTTGTATGTTACAAACTTTTTAAGTCATATTTTCCTAACGTTAAATATTATACTAACAATTAGAGTCTATGGTGATAAATTATATAAAAGAACACCATAGAACTTGGTAATAACTAAGAGAGTCGGTAAGAAGGTCAGTGGTAGGTCGAAGAAGAAGTTATTATTTTCGATTAGTTAAGTTAACAGAAAAAGCGACAAAGAGAGAGAGAGAGAGAGAGAGAGAGAGAGAGAGAGACAAGACACAAGACAACTAACGATGATAATGGCGTCTGTTTTTCGCGAGAGATATTCTCTCTCTTTCTCTGTCTTACGTTTCTAGGTGGACTCGACGACTGCCGGTGGAAACTATGATCAACTATAAAGGCCATCTGTTCGCTTTTAGAGTCGCCTTTATACCGTGTGGTGACGTCACTCGTACAGGAGATAAACCGAGATGGACGCCCACTCGGATAACTCGCGAGTTGTGCCACCTTATTCCATCTTCTTTCTTTCTTTTATTTCTTATTTCCTTTCTTCCTTCCTGCCTTCCTTCCTTCCTTCCTTCTTCCCTTCTTTTCTTCTTTTTCTTTCCCCCTCTCCGCAGTTCGTTTTACACGGACCTTGTTTTCTACACATTCTCAAAGAGTTAGCTAGCGAGCATAACGCATTGACGGACGAGCGTGTTATATACGACGAGACTTTAACGATTCTTCGCTTTAATCGCCTAGGATTTTCGAGTTTAAAGTTGCTTCATGGGCACCCTAGAAATGTGCTTTTTGGCATGATTATTAACTACGATTCGAAAACGGAGACCACTGTCATTCCGTAAATCATTTTCATTCGACTTGTCTTTCAAATATTTTTTTTTTTTTTTTTTTCTAATAATTAATCTATTTTCTTTTATCTTTTTCTCATAAAATGTGAGAAATGAATAAATTATCAATAGGGGATTTTTAATAATAGAATTGTAACATTTGGTTATTTATTTCTAAATTTGTATTTTCAGTTACAATGTTCAAAAAAATACGCTACTATAGAAATACTTGCAAACAAAATGATCGATAATTTCTTGAGTCTAATGAAACAACTTTTGAGGCAATTTTCTTCAAAACACCGACTTTTAATTACAATGTTCATTAGGAATATTATTGCAAAAAATACCAAGCAAAAGAAACTATTGATAATTTGTTTAGTTTGATTAAAACAATTCTTAGGATATCTCATTTCAAGACACGAATCTTCAGTTTCAATGTTCAAAAAGTATAAAGTTATAGACAAAATATCTGCAAAGAAAAAAAAACTAATTAATAATTCATTCAGTTTGATAAATACACCCTATTTCATATTTAACATTAATTATTGAACTTATAATGAAAATCATTGATAAGGGTTTTAAAAAAAGGAGTGGTAGGAAAGGGGATACTTTTAGGGTATTTATTTATTTATTACTTAAGTTTAGGGAAACTTTTAAAACACCCTATTTTATAGTTAACACACTTGTTATTAAAATTTAATACTAATCATCATTGATAAGGGTTTGACGAGTGGTAGGAAAGGGGGTACTTTTAGGGTATTTATTTATTTATTACTTAAGTTTAGGGAAGAGGGAACTTTTAAAACACCCTATTTTATAGTTAACACACTTGTTATTAAAATTTAATACAAATCATCATCGATAAGGGTTTGAAAAATGAAAGATAGAGTGGTAGAGGGAGGAGGTGGGAGAGGTAACTTTGAAAACACTCTATTTTATAGTTAATATTTATTATTGAAATTTATTAAAAATTATCATTGATAAGAGTTTGAAAAAAGAGAAAAAAAAGAGATAGAGATAGAGATTAATAAAATAAATAAATAAAAAAAGTAAAAAATATATGACGACTGTTCTAAAGCGCCTCGTAGCGTGAAAAGATGAAACAATTTGGGAACAGTTATATTGGCTAGGTGCCAAGGAAGGGGCGTCCCGACGCTATCCGAGAGGGTGGACCGAATTCAACCGAAGACAGCGTCCCGACACTTTCCGAGAGGGTGGACCGAATTTTACCGAAGAGCAGCGTCCCGGCGTCGAGCGTCGGTCCCGTCAGTGCGCGTGTGACATGGCTGCGAGGCGCTACACGGCGACCTAAACGCCCTACACCTCGCGATGTGAACGCACCCGCCCGCATCCGTTATCGAACGATTGGCAATAACTGTTTTCTTTGGCGAAGCCCTTTTTTTTCTTTCTTTTTTCCTCCTTTACCTTTTTCTTGCCACAATCATTCATCCATCAATATTTCTTTCTCTCTCTTTCTCTCACGCACAAACACACACGTATTATTCCTTTTCTTCCTTTTCTTTTTTCTCACTCTCTTCCTCTTTGTCATTTATTCGAGATCAAGACGAACATTATTTTATCACCTGTTTATTGTATCACACACAATTATGTGATATTTTGTAACTTTCGAATTAATCCGATTTTAAAAGACCGATCGTTGTCGAAAACGACGATCGACGACGACCACGCGACGCCACGGGGATATTTCCTCTTTTTCTCTCTCTCTCTCTCTCTCTCTCTCTATCTTTTTTTATTTTATTTTATCTTCTTTATTCTCTTTCTTTTTTATTTTTTTTTTTTTTTTAATATTAATTAAAACATATGAGAGGATAGGACGATTATTCGCGTGAGATTCACGAACGAAACTTTCCTCGAACGGTGAATTCATTTCCAACCTTTTGTACTGTACAAAAAGTTGACCAATAAGAAGAATACAACGAAGAAGAAGAAGTAGAAGAAGACAACGAAGAAGAATATTATTTGCAAAGTACGAGTGACATTTGACTTTAGTAAAAAAAAAATGTTTAATCATTGATTGTTCTATCGTTGAACGTTAAAATCGTGTGATACGATTTATATTTAATATTATTATCAAAACTCATATTCTACTCTATTGCTTATGATTTCTTCGATGGAAAAGTGTTCAGAAGAATAATGGCATTGAAAACGAGGATATCGAACGATTCATGAATTCTACATGTGTACGGAATATTAAAAAAAGAAAAGAAAAAATAATAGATACGAAACTCGTTCTCCGATATTATTTTTTTTGAGAGACGATCTTCTCCAAGTTTCAAGAAAATTTGTTGAAATAAAATGTAACAAATTATGCGAGAACGTTCTCGCGATGTTAGCCGATGATCCGGCGAATTCATGTGAGAACTTGATTTTTATTTAAAGTAACAACAACAACAAAGTATAACTTTGAACGAATCACGACGTTATCATTCCCAGATTAAAGAGAAGACTGCATTCCCTTATCAAAAAAAAAAAAAAAAAGATAAAGAAATATATAAAACCAAGGACAATGAAAAAGGAACAATTTAAGAAGAGAGAGAGTGATAATAGTGCGAAAGAGAGAGTGAGTGAGTGTGAAACAGCTTTGATGAATTTTATTGTAAATACAATTTCGTGTATCGTGGACCATTAGCATAGTTTCTCTAATTTATTTATAAGAATTATTGCAACAATCAGAGAAACCATCTCTTTTTTTTTTTCCTTTTCGTTGAATTTTTCTCAAAAAACAATAAGAAGAAGAAAAACAACAACAACAACAACAACTGTGTGCGTGTTGCACTGTTAATCGTGTGCACCGTTTATTCGTGTCGAGGTCGCAATGCGTAAAACGATGACAAATCTAACGAACGCAATACTTTTTCAACGTGACGTAAAAGAACGATAGTGTCGGGAACTATCAAATACTTAGAAACTTACATTAGTCTCGTATCGGTAAGAAAAAAAAAAAAAATAAATAAATAAATAAACTTAAACGTAAGAAAAGCAATGATGTGTGCAATAAATCGATTGGGATTCGAAAGAAGGGAAGACATTTTGTTGTCGTATTGATCTAACGTGAGAGAAAGTAAAAGTAAAAGTAAAAGTAAAAGTAAAAGTAGAAAGGAAAAGGACAAGAAGAAAGAGAAGGAGGAAGGGGTTAAGAGGGGGAGGAGGAAGAAGAAGAAGGAAGAAGAAGAAGAAGAAGAAGAGTGTTATTGCAAGAGAAAATCAAAACCGAGTAGAGTGTTGAGAGCTACGTGGTGGGTGCATCGGGGTTGTGCTGAAGGTGTGTGCTGAAAGAGTGTGGTGCGCTCGCGCGCGAAGTGCAGAAAACGACGATGGAATATCGGTGAGGTCACGAGGTCACCGCAGAATGCCTGAGCCGAGGGCGAAGCGCTGTAAACACTGTGACGGTACGCCGTGTGCATCCTCGTCGTCTTCTCTTCTTCTTCCTCCTGCACTTTCGCCGATTCTGAACCTCGCGCCGTTTATGAAAACGTGCCTCTTTATTGTGTGTGTATGAAGCGTGCTTCTCGTGCATTTGTGCAAAAGGACTTTTCAACGTGCTTTTTTCAACTAACCAACGATTAACTAACCATCCAACATTGACCGATGAATAATAAAGATAATGGTTTTTCTTGTTTTTTTTTTTTCTTTTGTTTGATTGGTGTGGCTTGTCTTAATTAACATTTTCCATCCTGATCGTTTTATTAAAAATTACATACTTTCAGATCTTCGAATTCCTTCATTAAATTTCACATTCCACGTATCGAAGATAAGTTGCGTTATCTCGTAAACGAGAGAGAAAGAGAGAGAGAGAGAGACAAAATTAGAGACCCTTATCCTATGAAGGCTTAAGAGTGTTTGTTTTTTTATTTCTTCCTTTTTTTTTCTCCCCCATGCGAGAAAATGGTAAACGACGCAAAACACACACACACACACACAAACTCTGTCTCTCATTTTTTCTTTATTTTTTATTTCTCTCTCTCTCTCTCTCTCTCTCTCTCTCTCTCTTGACTATTTTATTTGTATCCTAGGTGGGCTTTTATCTACGGTGCGTTTCGACCTACATATCCAAATCGGCTCCCACAAGTTTCATCATCCGTATCTGATTTTACTCGTGGAGAAATTTTCGCGGATGAAAAGTCGGTTCTTAATTAGGCCCAGAGGGTAGGCCATTTTATCTCTGGGTCATTTATTCCGTCTTATAGACACTTGGACCCAGCTTGAGGCAACCAAGTAACCAACCAACCAAGCAAACAAGCAAACAAGCAAGCAAGCAAGCAAAGCGAATAAGCGAAGCACATTCCGAACGGATGGCAACTACGTCGTCCAACTACGTGGACACACACTCTTTTTATCTATTTATCTATCTATCTATTTATCTATCTATCTCTTTCTTTCTTTCTTTCTTTCTCTTTCACCCCGTCTTTCCTCGCTATTTATCTCTCCACCGTTAGTGGCCGCGCCAGTATTTTTATCCACGGTTATTCACCCCCTTATCTGCGAATAGAGTGGCTCCTTATCCACCCAGTCCACTTAAGTAATAGTATTCTTCTTCTTCTTCTTCTTCTTTTTATTCTTATTCTTTTTATTCTTATTCTTTTTATTCTTATTCTTTTTCTTCCTTTTCTTAGCTTATTTTGATTTTTTCTTCTTCTTTTACCGTCCTTTTCTCCTGGCAGCCGGTTTCGTGAATGAAGCCATACTTTTATACTTGTTATATCGTTCCTGACGATCTTCCCCTTCTCTTCTTCTTCTTCTTATGTTTCCTCTGTCTCTCTCTTTCTCTTGATGATCATCAGGAAAGGAATTCGGAAGAATGAAGAAATTCGTAGATTCGATCATTTTATCGTCAATCACGTAATAGTTAACAAGACTCTAACTGGATCTTCCTTAAAATTGATGTTACTATAGTTAGACACACCATCGACGACTCAACAGCAACGGTAAAAATCCATTAAAAACACCGAACCCCCTTCTCACCCTTTCTTCTTCTTCTTCTTTTTCTTCTCTTCTCGTTAGTCCGGTCTTTTCTTTTTCATTTTTTTTTCTTTCTGCTTCGTCTTTCTTCCTCTTGCTTGAGCAAACCTTTTAATCTATTTTCAGATCTTCACTTGGATACTACTTTATCTCGTTATATGAGTAAATTCTGTCCAAAAGATTATAATCATGTAAAGATTGATCCAATGGAAATTTGTGCAAAATCGATGATCGGTGTTGTTTGATATATTTCAACAAGTGGACGATGATGTATGAAAGAAAGGGCTAACACAACCGTATGATTATGAGGAATTCGTTCGAGTCGTTAAGGGACCATCTCAGTGTAACCGGTCCAAAAAATTGTCAATTTTCGTGATTTTTTTTCGGATGGATAAGAGGAAAGGATCGGGATGTTTTTTTTTCCCGAATAAGACCACTCTTTAACAATACAAAAATATTTTTTTCATTCGTTTTTATTTATTTTTACTTATTGTTAATAATTATTTTAAAAAGTGAGTAAAAAAAATGTGGGCAATCGGTGTCAACGATTGTGATCGCAGTTTGCATCTCAAAGAAAAAAATCAAATTGATTATTGATCAAATTGATAATTGAATATTCTCTATAACTCGAATATCGACTAACTTCAACCTATAAACTTTTCGCATAACAATTTATAAATAAAAAATTAATTAAATAAACAATTTAAATTGAACCGAATTTTACGTCTAAACCATTTTCGAATCCACCTGAAGACACACACAAAATTTCATTAAAATCGGTCCAGCCTTATAGAAGGAGTTCAATGACAAAAACGCGCACGGAAGAAATATATATCTAAAGATTTGATTAATTAATTAATTATTTTTGTTTCATCGGTTTCACAATTTTCAAATCACCCTGATTCTAAAGAAGTTTTCACTTCAATAAAATAGATTTTTGAACAATGTTAACAATGAGCGAATTTAGAATATAATAGTAAAGATAAATTTATACATCGGAAATTTTCGGTGACACACAAACCTTTTCTTGTTGCAAAAGAAACCAATTTATCAACCCCTTCTCCGTTATTCGATCGTCCCGTTCTTTTGAACGACTTTGTAACATCGAATAACAAAAATATAAGAAAAAAAGATCAAGAAAAAGAAAAAATAATACGAGAAGACAGAGACAGAGAGAGAGAGAGAGAGAGAGAGAGAGAGAGAGAGAGAGAGAGAGAGAGAGAAGTAAAGAATGAAAATAACGTGTCTAAGAAACACATCTTGAAACTATCTCGAATCGTTTAGATATTTTTCACCACTGTATTATTTTCGTTAGGATCGATGATATTGTCCTTCGAACTAACACGAGAATAGGAATAAGATATTTCGGTTGTTGGAATTGTTTGTAGCAGGTGCGCGCCTTGGGAAGATATTATTATTATCATTATTATTATTATTATTATTATTTCCTTGCAAATATTTTTCGTTTTGGAACTTTGCAAAGTAGTAATAGGAGTAGTTAACGAAGGGTATGGGACGTTACGTCTCGTATATTAGGTTTACGCATCATCCATAATGGAATAGTGTATTTATACTATTCATTCTCCTTCTCCTCCTCCTCCACCTCCTCATCTTCCGAAAAAGAAATAGAATAAGATAGAAGTAAAAAGCGAGAAGGAGAGGAATGAGAAAGATACCGTGCAATATCCGAGTCTCTAGAGAACGATTCTTTATATTTTTAGGATTTTTAGGAGCCATTTTCTATTTGGTTTACGTTCTTCTTATAACGTCGTTAGGATTCGTTAGTAGAAGAAGAAGAAGAAGAAGAAGAAGAAGAAATGAATACCTAGCCGATGAGATAGCTATACTAAAATAAAACCTTAGGCTTACATTACGATTACTTTATAATCGATCACGACGAGTCTTCCAAGATAATTTATCGTTTTTGTCATACGAAAATTTGGACGTTTTATTATACTCATATTTGTTGTTTCTTTTCTTGATTTTTTTTTTTTAAGAGAACATTGGCATCATCTCATACTAGTTAAAGTTAAGTTAAGAATTAGGATTTGTGGAATTAGTATTATTATTGTTGTTGTCTAGTCGTTCGTTCGTTGATTGGATTGGTCATGTGTCGATTTGATCATAGTCAACGACAACGACAACGATGATTATGATGATGACGACGTCGTTGGTATAAAAGTGATTCGTGGGCAAGCGAATGGCTCGTAAACACGGAAACCAACAGCTGCCGATGGAAAACATAGGCTAAATTTAATCGAGATCTTGCTCGACTCTCGTCCCTGTAAAAGTACTTAAGCGTTCGATATGTGTGTTGGCATTATTTAACAATTGCTTACCAACACAACTTACCAATGTGTAAACGTATTCTCGAAGAACAGTCTTTTTTTTCTACTATTTTCTTTTACTCTTATCTCAAGTCAATGTTATTTAACATTACCGAGATATATACGAACGTAGAAGACGAATAAATGAGAGAAATACGAGAGAAAGAGAGAGAGAGAGAGAGAGAGAGAAGAAAAATGTGTTAGAAATGATCTCGTTTAAAGTTTCTTTTCGCGAATTCAAGGCAATCCTCTAACAGCAAGGATATATGTCTAACTTATACTACTTACCACATGAAAACTATTAAAGAATGTTACATATAAATATTATGAGAAAAGAAGACGTAGGTACTTTCCAAACATATCTATTTATCTATCTATCTAACTATCCAACTATCTCTCTTTTTATTTTATAATTATTACTACGATTACGCAATTACGTAAATTATGAATTAAATGACTAAGATTTTTTTGAYATTATTTTCTACAACATTTCAGCAAAAATTACATTCGCATCTTTTTTTTTTACTTCATCTTTCACGAATATATCTATCTATCTATTTATCTATCT